GCATACCAAGGTGCCTAAACCACCTCTCTAGAGGACTGTGCCTGAGCAGCTCAACTTAAAGAGACTACTTGCCAAATGGTATAGATACCTGATTATGTCTCGGGCCCGATAAGTCTGTTGAAGCTATGAGACACCAAAGGTAAACATTGTTGAATCTTGTACCATTGATTTTAAGACATCATTTTATGCCAAGCGTACTTCATCTCGGAAGAAAATAAGAATATATTCAGAACACTGTGACAGAATGACTTCATCACACCTCTTTACTGAACGAATCACTCAGAGGAATGGCACTGTTTATTGAGGAAGTTTCGGGCAGAATGTGTAATACTCAGTAATTGTGATACTTATAAGTAAACTTATGTAAAGTAACTATGATGAAATCATTTCCTAGGGAGCTTCGAGGCATACTGATAGAAGGCATCGAGGTCCTATGGCCCATGGGCCAATTTTATGTGAACGTTGTGGATAAATAAATTTTAAGTTGAGAAATGGATGGTGAAACCGTTAAAAGATGCTATGTTAGGCGTCGTTCTTGTGCGAACTTGACAGGCGTAGAGGCCGATTACTGATTACTCGTAACTGTAATATACCGACGAACATGAGGCCATGGGAGAACGCAGTAGCGTAGTTAGATGTAAGTGTATTTTTACTATGTCGTGGCAAAAATACCGATGGGTTCTGACCAGCTGGCTAGACAGTCAATTACGAGCAGTGCGACGTGGCACGACAGCGTGCCCAATGGCATGGATGCTTGACCAGGTGCCTTCAGATTTGTGAGTCTGATGAAACTATGAGGGTCAGCATCAGTGTTGAGTCCCGTCGAACCCCAGGCTGGTTCTGGAGAAGTATGTGATACTACAGATCACCCCCTCTCTAGCGGGTTCGTGAGAACCGAAAACAATACCATCCGGAAGTAAAAATCCATTGGTTTCTCAGATGGTAAAACTTTCGATGGGCTCACTGGAAAGGTGCCTTTCTAGCTGTCTGAACTTATTCTAGGGTGTCGCGGCGAAATGAGAAAATATAGTGCAAGTGGAGTCCGGAGCGGCGTCCATGGGATATGACCAGGTCATTATAGCTGGCGATTTTAATGCTCGGACTCTCAATCTCGATAAAACAGGGGACCCTCAAGCCGAAAGTTCGACGGAAACCTACCCAGCACCGTCGGAAAGTCTGGAATGCACGAGAATATTGGTGAAGTCAGTCGCCGGGGGTCGAGCGAAAAACCATCCAAACTGGACTACCTTGTTACCAGTGACCAACTTCTGGTAGAAAATGTACGGGCTCAAACCCCCCTTGACAGCGGCGATCACGGCGTGGTAGTGTTCAATCTGGTACTCAGCGGACAACTGTCATGGAAGGGATCCCGCCCTTATCTTTGGTATCATCAAGCAGGCTATTCCTGAAATCGTCCCTGTAGTCACAGCAATGCCGCGGAAGCGAACTTCATGGCTGAAGCGAGGCACTGAACGCCTTTTGAAAGCCAAACATGGCGTGGGTGGAGGACCCTCGGAAAAGAGTCGCAGAAGCCTTTGGCGCCACCCTCAGTACGCAACTGAATACGTCTGTGTCGGACGAAAATTGCAGACTGTCCGACCAAAATTCAGCCCCACCAAATGCGGTAGAGTTACCTGAAATAGAGGTAACTCCGGCTATGGTCCTCGAAAAGCTATCAAAGCTCCGCGCAGGGGAAATCAAGGTGTGACGACATCCGACCGGCCATGTTTAAACAGTGGGCAGGCGCCTTGTGTGGTCCGCTGTGTAATCTGTTTCAACACTACTTAGACAATCACATGCTTCCATGAGAGTAGAAACGTGCCTATCCTGTCCCCCATCTTCAGAGGAGGAGACAGAACCCGAAATGCTTCCAACCCACAGCCCATCTACCAGTGGTGTCAAAGTAAGGGAGAGGCCTGGTAGACGACCACGTCAGGAAGTGCTTATAAAAGAGGGGAGCACTCAGTGACGCTCAATATGGTCTCAGAAAGTGTGAGCCCTGTGCCTCAAACATTCTAGCCGCAGGCGATAAGTAGACGGCATTCTGGGATCGCCTAACCCCCGCCCATGTCATTTTCCTGGATTTTGCTAAGGCCCTTGATGCTGTCCCACATACCATTCTTATTCACAAAATATCAAGGTTGGGCATCAAGGGACAAGTGCTTTCATGGCTACAGGACTATCCAGACGGTAGACAATTAAGCACAAAAGCCAAAAGCGTTTGCTCAACTTGGAGGACATCATCATCCGGTGTATCACAAGGAGCGATTCTGGGTCCGCCGCCATTCCTCTTTTCTGTGAACGACCTCCCACTGAATTTCAGCTACCCAATTCTCCCGCAAGCTGATGATTTTAGATTATGGAGAGCCATGACGTCGGAAACAGAATCAGTTGCACCGCAAAGTGACCTCAGGTTACTTGCAGAGTGGGTGGATATTAATGACCTAGCATTTAATCTAGATAAGTGCCGAGTCATGTTTCTCCACACCCTAGACTCTCAGAAGGTACCCTATTCTCTCTATGCAACACAACCTTCCCACACCACCACGGAGAGAGACCTATGACCAATACTGACTGGCAAACTAGACACTAGCTCCAATTATCCAGGAGATACCTCCAGAGCCTACGCAGTACTGCACTTTATGCGCAGACTACTGGGTGTCCTGATCCCAGACCTCTTTGAAGCTTTACGAGACCCACATATGGCTTCATTTAGAGGTCCATGACGTCACTGCACCACATCTGAAAAGAGGTGTGAACCTCCTAGAGAAAGTCCAAAGGCGAGCCACAGAGGGTGTTGTGGGAGTGAGGTGAAAATACAATGAGGACAGGCTGAAAGATCTAGTAGTGTACTGTCCAAGCTACCGTAAACCACATGGTGGCTTGATAACGGCTTACAAAATACTTAGTAACCGAAGTTGTCCAAAAGGCGGAATTCTACCGAGCGGCCACTATGGCGATCCTTGTGGTAACCCAAGGAGAATCACCCACCAAAGAGCAAAAACCCGTGTGCGATCATACTTCTCTCTGCGAGTTTGATGCCACTGGGACGCATTACCTGCCAAGATTACTACTGCTTCGTCTGTTTACAGCTTCAAGAAGAGGTTGGACAGTTACGCGGCGACGTATGGTTTGCGCTCATCCAACTGGATGTGGGCTAGGCTGACATGGCCTACTAACTCGTTACGGCCAGCTGTTACCGAATACTTTGTAAAACCACTTTCAGTGAGAGCTTGGTCCAACCTTATACCTTTCTATAGACGTCCCCTCCGGTTACCATCTCCTACTAAGAGCCCCATAATGTTACTTATCCTTCTTCCTTCTGGCCTCACGTTCTCAAACTTTAACGAAGGCCCTCCCTATCACCCTTCCCCGTAAACCTTTCAGTGGTTCCCCTTTCATGCCGTTTCTTTTTCCTAATCTTTTTTCCTTTTCTTTTTCGATTCGTTTTTCTCTGCGCTTTCTCCCCCTTGGCTTCTCTGCACATATTTTTCGTCTCCTTTTTACAACCAGACCGACCAATCGCCCGCTGGCACGACACTTGAGGAACCCATCTGCACCACAGTCCTCGGAAGAAAAAAACACAAAACAAACAACACTCCCTACGAATTTAACCAACACCCAACCGCCCGTTGGGTTAACCAGAGCTACAGCAGTCGATTGGGTAGACCTACTGCATCGGAATCTACCAAAGACCTGAGACCGCTTCGCAAGATCTAGAAGTGAGCGCGAAGAAACCGATTGGTTTACACTTACTCGTAAAAAGATATTAAATATTGGACACTGGAATCCATGTTGGCCGTGTTTCCTAGTGTCCTTTGACGTTCCATTCAGTGCTCGTTGCACCTGAAATAGAAACAAAAGTCTTAAGTACCACGAAGATGTTTTGCGAAAATGGGAACATCCGTCAATAAAAAATACCAAAAATAGACTTTATGCTTAATTCTGTTTTATTTTTTGAAAAAGTATGATTACGTGGCAGTAATGAATTTGCTCAAAAAAGCAAAATATGGGAAAATTTCTGCATTCCTGTAAAAATACGGCGCTGTGCAAACACCTGGCCCTTTCTCAGTGAAATTATGCTCCGCTGCTGTTTTCAGCAAGGAAGACGTCTTGTTCTGACTAGTCTCAGCAAAAAACCGCATGCCGAAATGATGTGTATCGTGAGGGCAACGTTGCCGGAGTAACTTTCGGGGCTTCTTAGAGGTCTGAAAATAAATGTGACGATGTACTTGAAATTCAAAGAGCTCGCAACTGCAAAGACCCAAGTGTTATCTCATATAGGATTCCTTAGGGAATTTTAAGTTTTTTGTTATCTTGGAGTTTGAAATACTTTAGACAGCGAGGCAGAAAATAGCCACAGCGGATCACGTGTACATCTTAGAATTTCTAGTTTGGATCACATCTTCAGGACTTGATCTTGCGCGAGCTTGGCAGTCACAAAGGGTAATCACTAATTGTTCATACCTGTTATATGCTCACAAATGCAAGACCGAGAAATGACACAACAGAGTAACCATGTAGAAAAGTATATTTGATAGACCATACCAAAATACCGATGCATTCCGACTAACTGTCTAGGGGAGCACACACGAGCAACGCGACATAACACGACTACGCACCCAGTGGCGTGAATGCTTGACCGTATGCTTTCAGCTTGACAAGTCCATTAAACTATGAGAGTCAACAGCAATGTTGAGTCTCGTCGAACCCTACGTTATTGATTTTTGAGGAATTATTTGCAGCTACACATCTGTTTATCTACTGAGTTTAGGAAAGATTTAGCACATAAAAGTCTCAGTGATTGTGTTGAATATCATCAGATATTAGAAACTATTCTTAGAAGTCAAGACATACCTTCCAACTATTGTTGTGAGCAGTTTAGTGAACATTTAGAGCCTCGGTTTGAAAACAAAGTTGCGCTACAACATGTGCTTATAAGTGTCCTGGATTCAGTATTTGTGTTGACTGATACCCATCTCACTAATTTACCAATCAAGATGGATGACGAAATGAGTGAATACCTTAACAAGGTAGTTTTCTTTGCTTGTATGTAGGTTGACTTTTGCATATATTGTCTGATCACTTCATGTATTCACTAAATCATGATTTTAGTCACGACAGTTCTAAAACTTCCTTAACAGAACATATTAAATTTTAAATAGTATTCGATGCTAGTCTTTTCAATGTATTTCAAATTCTGCATTAGTTCTAACCACTTAACTGACGTCAAATGTATGCATATATGGATGCATTCCATAAGTATGCTTATGGGAACAGGACAAATCATAAATTATGGGTGCGAAAGCTTAAGTAGAGGAATAATTCGAGTTTTCCCACAACGTTTGGTTCATTTCAATACTTAGGTTTGTTTTTTCTGTTGCACTTGCCCATCTTTTCTGACTTGAGCGACAACTTTTGTTAACCATCACTTGGGAATTGCATGTACTGTATGTGTCTCAGACACCGGAATCTCTGGAGGTTTATGACCTCATCTGGCCCTTCTTACTTAAGATTCCATGTCTGACGTTTGTGTTAATAACGTGATGGTACGGCCGATTTTTCCGAAGCAAGGGGGATTAAACACCTGAAGTCCTTCCACCTTAAATGGTCGTTCCAGAGCCATATAGGAAAACAGAGGTTAGAGCCGAGCAATACGTTCGATACCTAGTAGGCGAACTGACATCACACTAACAACATAAATGGCATAAGTTGGAAGATGCTAATCCAACGTATATATATATATATATATATATATATATATATATATATATATATATATATATATATATATATATATATCATCTGTTGTGCCAATGTAATGCTCGTCCGCCTACAGTGTTAAATGTATTGCTCACTGTGTTCTCCTATATGGCTCTGGAACATGACCATTTAAGGTGGAAGGACTTCAGGTGTTTAATCCCCCTTGCTTCGGAAAAATCGGCCGTACCATCACGTTATTAACACAAACGTCAGACATGGAATCTTAAGTAAGAAGGGCCAGATGAGGTCATAAACCTCCAGAGATTCCGGTGTCTTGGACATATATTACGTATGCCTAGTCAGTCTGTCCTGTTGCCCTATGTCAGCTGGATAACATTTTGGTTGAAGGAGATTTAAAGACTCAGATTGAAAATTGTCCTTAGTTGAATTTTCTGACTGTAGATTTTGGGTTGTCTGGGGAATCAGAAACTTCACAATTGAGGTTTCTCGACAACCGGAATCGGTGATTGAAACTCCATGTGGTATGACTCAGAATCGGTCTCAACGGCAATGTTTACAAATATTGTCTTCATCTTAATCGTCATTTCAAATCTCATGGCCTCCACATCCTCGTCTTCTCTTCTAATGACTAGGTTAATTTTGGCTGTCTTCTCTATTTATTCAGTGTTTCATCTTTTTACGCCTTGTGCCTTATCGTGCTGGTGAGGTGTGACGATATAGATGGCTACCCATTATTGTCAGATCCCACTTTATATTTCACTTACTGATTACTGGACTTCTATACTGTGAGTCACAAAAGTTATAACAGGACTTCGTAGTGCTGTTTTTATTTTTGAGATTGAACTTGACCATATCTAACTTAAAATGTCGAATAGGTTAGTTCGTACTTCACAGTACCTTGATAATATCAGAGATCAAGGTGATATCTACTGGCAGTAGTTGAGTCGTTTACATGTATTGAGTGTAATGATCAGTCATAGTGGTGGTCAATGACTTCAGTAGTCAGTGAAGCGGGCATCTCAGCTCGCTTTTAGCGATTGGCTATCTGCTACCCATCCACAGGCTGAAATGTTAACCCTATAATTTGAGTGGTAACCTGAGTGCATAGTTGAAGGCAGGAAAGCGTGATCGATGGTAGTGGGATACATCTGTTTTTAAAAATGGTAAATTTAGGCTGTTCCCATAGTTCAGATTCTTTATATTGGTAATATTACCATCTGTGTTATCATCATTGGTCATATTTTCTTTAAATTACTATTGAATTTATTGATTAATCTAGGAAGGTAATTAGTAATGATTGAGGACCTTACTCTACGTCAAATCTTGTCTCAGATTTTCAGTCCTACTGGTAAACTATTTCATCCTGTTTCTGAAACATTTAGGCAAGCCCACTTCAGTTGACATAGGGTGAAATGATTTGAAGTCTAAGTGACGATGTGAATACGAAGATTTCTTATAGACACAGTTGTCCAAACTTCCTTCATATTTTCGTTTAATCCTGCAATCTTAAATCACTGGCTTTCTTTTAACACTTTCTCACTCATATGTGCACTCGATCGTCATTCCAAAGGTTCTTCAAAACTTTCATCACTTGTTCTGATAAATTTGTTTTATCTCAATAGAAAAGGAGTGATATTGAAGGAGACAAGGTTATGTGAAAGAACAAACAATCTGAAGATAAAGGTGAACGCAAATATTCAAGCTTAGAAACGTTTGAGGATCTGATCTGTGAGGGTCGAACCAGGTTTTTTTCAGGTCGTTGATGCATTAACCATGTGTTCAACTTCCCCAGATGTTTGAACAGTGTCACACTTATTGGTGATCAACACTTGCTTAAGTCACCAATATTAAGGCTGGATTCAGTTCATTGGACAAGGTTGTACTCTGGGATCGTCGTTTAGAGAGGCATACGGGTGAGGAGTTTGTTAACCTCTTGAGAGCTCTATGCGCCAGTGAAGAATTGTAGCCACCTCTCTTTGCTGCGAAAGAAGGGGGTTAGACAGAACACTACTTCCCAGTTTAGATATTTCTCGTTAACTTTGACATTGATGCACTCAGATAGCTGACAATCAGTGTGCTTTGTGCCGTCAAAATGCAATGTGCTTAAACAATGTTGGCAGGGACCTGTACGTGCACTCACTTGTGGTGGTGAACTGCTGATATTTCTCTGAACGTTTCTGCCTGTGGGTGTGCTGAGTGCTGCTGGAGGTGTGATATTTGAGATTTTCATTCGCACAGTGGTACATGCCTACCTGAATCACCTTTGGCGCAGTCCTTAACTTTGCTGTAAAAGGTTGAGTACTCAATGCGCAAATTGGTCTCTCTAGGCTGAGGATGTCAGACGACTTTTCGATCATCGTTGTCTTTGTAGGACTACTCGAAATCCGGTTGAAATAATATGTAAGGAATTTTGAGGAGAGGTGGTGTGTGTTTGGGTATGATGGAGATAGCCATTCATTCAGTGTGGTCATGTCAAAATGCTATCTCCTGTAGTTCCGACTTGTGTTCCAGCGGTTCCCACGCCGCTTGTCTTCGGACTAGCTGGAAGAAGCAAAGAGATGGATAGTGTAAAACGGCGCCACGGGGTGATGCATAGTTATATTGGGTTAGTATCTGTTGATGCCTCACGACTCCGTGGTTGGGGTCCAAGAGATCAAGTAACTCAGTAACTGGAGGCGATCGCAAGCATGCCTCATAATCGAAACTGGTGCCATTATGCTCAATTCTATTTTGTTTGTTTCCTAGGTTGTTGCAGTGAAACAGCATTATTTACCGAATAACATTTTGGACATAATTTACTGTCCGTTGAGCCAAGCTGAAGTTGTTTCTAGGCTATATTCATCACTGGTTGACATCATTTGGAGAGCCGTTGAAAACTTGAAAGTACTGGACAGCTGCTTCGTCTTAGTATGGGGTTCCTGAGCAGTGCATATACACGTCCTCACCAGGAAATCAAACCAACGATCCTTGGGCTTTGTGTTGATCACATTGGCATTCAGCCACTGGGTCGAAACCCAATGGTTCACAGTTTCCTATTTCTCTTCCTATCAACTGTATTATTCGTGAAAGTGGATTGAAGTACACTACTTCTAAACTCATTCTCCTGATTTTTCATCAAGGATTTCTTTTTTGTGTCGATTTAACAGTGATCTAATCAGAGAGGTGAAGACGTTGATTTATATTCTCTCTGTATCACATGCTTCCTTCGAAAGTAGATGTGTGACGTTGAGGCTAGTCTAAAGAGCTATATTTTACTGAAGTAAGTTGAGAAAGCGTGGTTACGAGGCAAACGCTAAATATAACGTATTCGGTTTTATATGATCCAATGGCACATGAACATCTGTTGTTTACTTAATATCAATTCTTACAGGATTGTGTACTGGGTTATAAGCTGTGCGTAACGTATGATTTCATAGCAATACTTAGTTGCTCAGAATAAAGTGGAGTGAGTTCGTGGGGATCTATAGTTGAAGTACCTGCACCATATTATTTCACACCCTCTTGTTTCGTTATTAGTCCAGCTATTTTCCCTTTAACAACCCACTCAGGTTTGGCATGTAAATAGCATCAATAGTGTTCGTGGTATCTCGCTTATGGACTAGTACGCAGATATGCAAGTTTTCTAAACGTTTCTCATCTGAAATTTCCTTGTTAAGTCACACTCATTATAGGGATATCATCTATCAACATAGGAATGGACATTACTGCGTAACGGCTTATATCAATACATCAAGTAAAAAGGCAGTGAAGTGAAAGGTAAAGAAAAAAAATTCAGTCAAAAGGGATATAAAGTACGGAAAGAGAGAAAGGAAGAATAAGAAGATGATGAGATTTGGTAAAGCGTTAAGATGAGGATAATGTGTGTATACACCTGCACCACTGACATTGGTTCTGATCCTTATCACCTAGAGTCTCCAACCACTGGTTCGTCTTGTCCCGCGGACCCCGACCGGCTAGTCTGCATCTCCCTACATGGCTCAAAACAACAGTCAAAGGCTTATACATTGATGCCACGTTTTAGTCTGACCACCTCGGGCCTTTTTCCAGCCTGAACCTACTTCGACCAATATTGTGTGGTGAAGCAGATGGCAACCAACCATCTCAGTCGATGAAGGTTTACAACTGTGTCAACTGGAACTCTATGCATAACTTCTGCGTTACTCACGTGGTGACACCACGGAATATGGCCTATACTACGAAGGCATTGGTGGTCAAACACCTGAAGCCTTCTCATATTCTCCACCTTCAATGGCCATGTTACACAGCATACGGTAGAACAGAGCGGAATGCCGTGCAGGTGCGGTACACGCGACCCTTAATAGACAATCGGATATCACGGTGGCACGACAGGTGACGTAAGTTGGCGAAAGCCATCCGAGCCTTTTGTATTCGTGTAGAAATTTCGTCGGTTACTGAGCCACTAGGGTTGATTCTACCTCCCAGGTAAGTGAGATGGTCGATATACTTAAGCACTACACTCTCTATTGTTAGCCATGACATCACTGATGACCAATCCTGGAACAATAATTTTCATTTGGGTGGTGAGAAACGCATCCCAAACATTCTCAAATTCCCACTCAAGGTGTTTAGAATACTCTGCATCTTGTCAGCGCCTTTACTTAACAGGACTATTTCATCTGCATATTCTAGGTCCAACGAAATTTATCCTGCGATTAGGTCAACTTCTATGTAATAAGGTGACGAGTGGCAGACCTCTGTAAGAATAAAAATGGAGACAGTGGGCATCCTTGACGGACGCCACTCGACGAGTACAGGTCTCCGGACATCTCACCATAGGCTCTAACACGCCCACAAGTGTTCGAGTAAAGAGTCTTCAATAAGGCGATGTACTTACTCGGGCACGCCCTTCACTGAGAGACATTGCCATAAGACTTCTCGATCAGCTGAGTCGAATGCCGCCTTCAGGTCGAGAAATACAGCTATTGTTGGGCGTCGGTAAGCGTGTCTGTGTTCCAGAGCCTGGCTCAGAGTAAATATTTGGTCGATACACCTGCAACCAAGCTTGCTGTTCCCGAGCTCCACTCAGGCGTCGAAGAGTTATGGAACCTAGAATCGTAGGCTGATTTCTCTGTGGTTATCACAAGAGGACCTCTCGCCTTTCTAGAAGACTGGAATAATCAGTTATTTAGACCAGTCAGAGGGGGTCGTATTTGATTCCCATATACTGGTTAACACTTCCGTTAACCTGACTAAGAGCGCCTTACCATCATCCTTGTATACCTCAGGAGTTAGTCCGTCTGGTCCTGCTGTCTTCCCTTGTTTCAAGTTACCTACGGCTTTCTCAACTTCTGCTAGTGTTGGAGGGCCTATCTCAGTGTTCCATTCAGAATTCGACTGGATAGCAGGCAACACTGGAGACCAGTTGAACTGTTCCTCAAAGTGTTCTACCCATCGTCCCAGTCGTCTCCCCTGCGAGTGAACCGCAGACCCATCCTTCTCCTCTATGGTCTCACTAACCGTTGTTGACCTTTTCCCCCCAGTTTCCTTAATAAGTCTAAATAACTGTCTACTGTTACCGATTGCCGCTGCCTTTTCCATCTCTTTAGCTTTCGCTGCTCACCACTGTTCGCGGTCGTTGCGTAGGCTTTTTCTCGATCTACTTTTGAGTTGTGCTCGCTCTTCATTGTACTCAGAGCCTGCAGGCAGGGATGCGTTCACGTGCACCCATTAGTTCTGAAGAAGCTGTTGATATCCACTGGCTCTTTTTAGCCACTATTTTGGAGTCGGTTACAGTATTCAGTGCTGCTTTTGCAGCAGATTGGGGATGGCACCAAGCTTCTTCTGGATGAGCGATCGTGTTCTGTTCCGATAACTGCCGAGCTAACTTCTCACTGAACACAGCTTTGATGTTTCCGTTGTTGAGCAGCACTCGTAGTGGTTTTGTAGCCAGATCTTTCTTACGTCCATTGAGAAGCAGGCATATGCGCGTCCGAACCAACGTGTGGTCGCTACCCAAACATGTACTCCAGAAGGAATGGCAGTCTTCCACCGATCCTCTCCAGCGATGACTAATAGCAATGTGGTCTATCTGTATCCATCGCTGCATTGAGGTTGGTGGACGCCAGGTCAGACAGTGTCTTTCTTTGTGTCTGAAATTTGTGCTGACTAAAAATATTTGTTTATCTGAACACAGTTCTAGTAGGCGATCGCTGTTATCTGTTAGTGCAGCCGGGATTCCTGAAGTGCCACCTAAGTGTCTTTCTGCCTCAGTCTACCCACCTGTCCATTAAAATCATCTGCAACAACCACCACGTCCGAGCGTTTGGCTTTTGAAAGGAGGCTAGACAGTTTTCGGTAGAACTCATCCTTCACTACATCTGAACTGCAGTCAGCGGGTGCGTAAGCAGAGATTACAAAGAGACAACAGCGAGTCTCACTATTCTTTATAGTTCTCACTGTGCCGTTCAGTCGGGTAGTGCAGAGGAGACTATCAACTGGGATCTAGTCTAGTAGTGAGCTTTCTGCCCTAGTGCTTAATGCTATGCCTACACCTGCAAGACCGCGAGAGCTAGCTATCGAATCCCCAGAAACTTGAAGGGTGAATTCTGTGGATTGGTGGGATTGGCTGGGAGACGTTAGGTGAATAACGCACTTGGGTCCTGTATGCGTGTCTCACAAACACAGCATACATCCATGGCTGGAGTTTTGGCCAATGAAGCCTGTTGACCAATTTAATGGAGGGTGCGGACATTGAGGGCCTCGTTGTGTAGTCGGAGCGTAGTTCAAGGAGACCAGGGATGCTGTTCTGTGGATTCAAACCGTTGTCGAAGGCTACAGAGCTAGGAGAAATTGAAGATGATGTAGTATTGTTAATTGGGGGACGTTAAGAAAGATTAGAAGGTAATGATGAGGGAGGTGGATAGCAGTCTGAAGAAGCTTTAGTGCTGACAGAGTTGTAAGGGCGGTTGACACTTCCCGGCTGCCCACACCGTGGAAGGCTATTTCTCCTTAAGGTACCTGAAAGAGATTTGTGTGACCGTAGAGCCCATCGGACATCTGCTTGAGGCCTGTCACTCTCAGCATTTTGTGTATGGTTGTTTTGGGGTCGGTCGTCGAAAAGAAACGATAAATGAACCAACACCACCCGGCAGACCATGGGGTATAGTGGAGTGTTATTTTGGGGCCCGCCTTTTCTAACCCCACCCCCCCGCCTTCCACTGAGAAAGGCAGCATCAGCATGGCACTGCTGGTAATCCAGGGGAAACACCTTACCGATGTCACACCCCGTCCAGCTAGCAGCAGTACGACTTCGCCTTCAGACTCCCAACATAGTGTAGTAATTTAGACTACAACGGTAACTGCTTTTCGTCTAACCACTATCCAACAGACCTTTGTGGTATGGTTGGACCTCGAGGGCACAAGTGTTCCACCAGCATAGCTGGTTGGGTCATTGTGATATGCAAGCCCGACCACCACGTCAAGTAGCAGCTATCGGTCGGGCATTATAGGGATACGAAGTGTTGCAGGTGAACCGTCAAATGTTTGTATGAAGCCATACGGTGTTAGTGTCCGCTTGCCTAGAAATAGTTTCACTTAATTTCAATATGAATTTCTTCATATGAGATCACACAACTATATTCACCCAGTACTCCTATTTTGCTTTGTTTATCTTTAGATGCAAATCAAAGAGACATCTGAATTATATGTTCGATGTAGTGCAGTATGCTTTGATCGATGTGTCAGCAACTTTACTGCACGCAAGTTAAACGATAAAGAGGTAGGATGTAATTGCGTGTTTTGATTAACCATGTTCTTTCTTCTCCCCCTCTGTCCCCTCCTACAGACTGTATGTATCGATAAGTGTACAGAAAAATTCGCCAAAATGAACCAACGTTTAACGCTGCGATTGTTTGAGTTAAACCGCGAAGAATTGGTCAAGCAATAAAGACGAATGGGAAATTATCCGTAAAAGAAATAAGCCCAGTGATTACTGCTTGTACATAGCTTCGTTGAAGTCTTTCTTTCATTGAGCTGTATCTGCGGATGATATAAAACGCGGATATTTTTACGAGATATACTAGTTTATTTGTCATCTTTCTGGAAATCTTAGTGGTTCCTAGTCATACTGTAATACAAACGCTTTCAGCACCTTACTTTTGCTTTCTTTCCGGTTAACTTCTTTCGTTACATGATAAGCGAAACAGCCACGATGTATCCACTACTGAACATCATGAGCGGTGCTCGATAGCGAGATTTAAATAATCTAGACGCTGAAAAGAGAATCATAGAACTTAGCCTGTCGGTAGTTTCCGAACTAATAATGTCAGCATGGTATCTGACAGTCATAACTAACCATCCAAATTACAATGCACCACTTCAGTACACCAAGACACAAAAAGAAAAGGGTGAAAGAGAAAAACAGAAAACAGTCAAAATTAGTAAAAAGTCATTAGAACAGTGGAGTAGAAGGATGTGAAACAGTAGTGAAATTGGAAATGACGATTAAGATAGAGATATTATACGGATGCATTTTCGCCGTTCAGTCTGGTTTCAAGCCATACCACGTAGTCTTAATCACTAATTCCAGTTATCACACGTACACCGATCGGAAAATCTTCAATACCGCACATGGCTCAGACCAGCGGTCAGAAACTTGGATTTTTTGTGGTGTGAGTGCGCAACGGTATTAGTTCCAACGTGAATCGGATGACACGAGCAGATATCACCTCTGTTTGACCAAAGTGTCACAGGCCTTATCTTAACACACGTCAGCGACGGGTAAACTAAAAACAAACATCACAGGATTCGAAAAGATGTAATTAATTGAGTTGTTTGCTGTCCAATGTATCTAAGCAAAATTAGTTTCAACATTAATGTGATATTGGTACGTATGGTATTTGTCAATGAATTTGAATAAAGTTGCATGGAGCATATAACAGAATAATACCACTTTTCAGTTGGACAGTTTTGAGACTTCCTCCAACCTAAATCTAACCTAACTTACGTGACACGAGAAGATAGACGGTGAGTAGGCATGCGCAATATATGTCCCAAGCATCTGAATCGATGAAAGTTTATAACCTCAAACGGTTCGTCTTAATTAAGTCTAAACTTAACGTTTGTGTTAATGACGTGATAGTACGATGACAGTACCGATTTTTCTGAGGCAACAATGGTCGAAAACTTGACATTTCAGTCACCCCCTCCTTTAATGGCTGTTTCACAGTCATATAGTGTGACTGAGTATTATTATTATTATTAGTCCCTTGGGTTCCTAGTGGAACATAGGGCTTCAGTAGCACGTCTCCAGTGACCTCTGTTCTCTGAGATCTTTTGAACCTGGTTCCACGACAGCCCACAAGCTCTCATTTCCTCCTCGCACGACCTCCTCCATGTCACCCTCGGACGTCCAACTCGTCGCTTCCCATGGGGATTCCACTCGAGCAACTGGCCTGACGCGTGATGTCCTCAGTCGGCCTTCTCAGTGCATGGCCAATCCATCTGCACTTCTTCCTGCATATTTGTTGCGTGATAGGTTCTTGGTTGGTTCGTTCCCAGAGTTCCTTGTTGCTTATTCTTTCTGGCAATCCATCTGATCTTCAGTAGCGAATGAGCGTAAGCAGTTGTTGATGAATATCTGTAGTTTATTGGAAATGCCTTTCGTAACGCGCCAAGTCTCTGGACCATACAGGAGCACTGACTTGACGTTGGTGTTGAAAATCCGTATCTTGTTCCGCATGCTGAGTGCAGAAGATCTCACACTGGTTTCGGGCTAATGAACGCCTGTCTTGCTTTTCCGATTCTGACTTTGACGTCCCCGTCTGTCCCCGGCTTGTAGTTGAAACAGTGCTTCCTAGATAAGTGAAGGAGGTTACTTCCTTTTAGTTTCTCCCGTTGACGGTGACTGGAGTTTGTTGTTGTTGTTGATGGCGGTGGTGCGGTATCTTCATCACCTCTGTCTTCTCTATATTCACTTGAAGTCCCGTCTTCGCTGCCTCTTCTATCAACTTGTTAGTTTTTGCCTGCAGATCTTCAAGTTTATGTGACATTAGGCACAAGTCATCGGCGAAATCCAAGTCTTCTAAGTTCTTTTCCGCAGTCCAGCGTATCCCCCTCTTCTCGCTGCCTACTGTTTGCTGCATGATCCAGTCCACCACAATCAGGAATATCATGGGGGATAGTAGGCAACCTTGTTTCACTCCTGTCTTCACTTCAAAATCATCACTGAGCTTCCCATTGTGAATTACTTGGCATGTGGCGTCTTCATATAGTTGTTGAATGAGGCTGATGAAGGTTTGCGGTACTCCGTAGTATTGAAGCAGTTTCCAAATTACTTCACGGTCGACGCTGTCAAAGGCCTTCAGTGTGACTGAGTAATACTTAGTAAACAGTCGAAAAATGTTCATTCTCAATAGGATTTGCAGAAAAACAGATTGAAATTAGAAAGAAAACATATAGAAATCTTTTTTTCTACAATTAAATAAATGCAAAGGTGTTGCTACAGTTTACAATGAAGGAAAAAGACGGTGTGCATCATTTGGTACTACTAGCAGTATCCACAGCTAATGTTTACTACCAGTTCGTAAACATCTTAGACGATAAAAGTACAAAGAATTTCTAGACGTTTTTCATGAATATATATATATATATATATATATATATATATATATATATATATATATATATTCAGTAAGTCAGGCGGTTTAACTTGTCAGTTTTCGTTTAGGTTACTATCCGTATTCATTTTTGGCATTGTTTGTTACATCGGCATTCGTTTTCCAATAAACAAGGTGACTGTAATTAAAACTACCTATATCACTGAACATGGGTCATGATATTCCTCATATTCAAGTGTGTAGTCACCTGTACAGTTACAGAATAGGTAGTAGAAGCCTGACGATTTCTTTCTCAACTCAGTATCATAAGTGGACTTATATAAAGTTATGGATGTTCTTCACTGTACGATTCTAACGGAAATTAGCCTAAAGTTAGTCCTTTCAAGTCCTTAGTCTTGGATCTATTTTATTTTGGTAGTATTTTTACTTGAAGTAAAAAGTTTGAAGCGAGGAGTCTTAATGAGAGGGGAAGTAATAAAGAGCTTACTTAACAATGGTGATGTTAAGTAGGGAGAAGATGATTCCATTTAGAAAAAGATTGATTGAGCGAAGAAATATAGTCCTTTTCAATTAGGTCTTCATCTTGCGCTCTTCACTAATATATACTTTTCCAATTTAATCAAATTACCAATCATGTGGTGATGTTTCAGAAATAATGATGTAAATAATCAATGGTTACTAAAATTGGAAATATGAAACAAGCTTTTCTTTAAAAAATGGAGTGACTTTAATAAGTGTTCAGTCATCCACAATAAGCGATTACGTAATAAGTAAGAAACTAAATGAACATTGATAGAAACAAGAACGGGAAGTGGTGTACAAAGTAAACTTAGAAGTTACACAACGTTGATGGCCACGGTAATGAAAGTGGTCGAACAAACTTCTTTTAAATACAAAGGCTAGGTTTGTAAAGGTGGATTGCGATCGCCTCTGCGAGTGCGTAATCCATGAGGTAAATTAATTGCAATCTGACGGATGATTTTGAAGGCTTTTCTAGTAACCACTTGATGTCCTGGGTGCAAGTATGTAGCTCTTTATAGTTCTAATTTGTCCCTTTTTCAACCATGATGGGTGGTGCTCAGAAATTCGACCGCCTCATTGTACACAGTGAAGAAACGGTATTGTTTACTGGATTACGTTTCGGATATAATTTATTCCCCATAGTCATATCAACCAAGATAACTATCCTTTATGTAGTCTTAGTTCTTTCGCCCGCTTTGTGATATGGGTAGTAAGATTTTCCATATATCTGGAACAGGTGCTGAGTTATTCCTGTTGCTGCATGTATTAGGTGTTGATTCGATAAACAAAGCTTCCTTTTATCCTGCTTATTAGAAATGTCACACAGTGAAAGAACAGTATCATACACTGCTTAACATCGTTTTGGATACAATTTGTTGTCCATATTCATATCAGGCAACTAACTCCACAACCTCGAGACACAGTTTACATAGTCCTCATTTCCTCTCCTTCTCTGTGATGATAAGGGTAGTAGAGCTTTCTATATATCTGAGACAGGTATGGAATCATTTCTATCATTGGATGTATTTGGTGTTGATTCTATAAATGAAGATTCGGTTATCAATCTCTCCTTCCACCCAACTAAGTTAGTTTTCAATGTTGTTGCCCTATCCCATCCCATCCCACTATGTGATTGTGTGTGATTACGTGCAGAGCTAAAGCCGAGCTTTTCTCTAAATTTCTTATTATATTAGGATCTACTACTCTTGATTTCGCTAAGTTTTTGTACTCTGTTATTGTAATTGACGTTGGTCGACTACTTTGACCTTTGTAGTTGACCTCGCAAAGAATTTGAATTAGAGTGAGACTTGGACCTACAAACTCACTCAGAACTAGGCTTTTTAGATTGAAATATTCTGTTGATCCAAGTAAGCAGAATAAAGTAGTTTACCAAATCACTTGCTACCCGAGCACGAAAACCTAGCTAGGTCAAAATTAGTAGATCCTAGTACGGTAAGGAATTTAGAAAAAAAAAGCTCAGGCATAGCTATGCGTGCGAGTACATACATTAAGATGTGACAGAATGAAAATCCTTAAAACTAACAGAGCACGGTGGAGGAAGAGATTGATAACTAAATCTTTGTTTATCGAGTCAGCACCTAATACACGGGACAGGAGTAACTCGGCACTTGTTCCTGATATATAGAAAATCTTACTACCCATATCACAAAGCGGGTGAAAGAACTAAGACTATATAAAGGATATCTCAGAGTTGTGTAGTTATCTTGGTTGATATGACTATGGAGAATAAATTTGTCCGAAACGAAATCCAGTAAACAGTACTGTTCCACACTGTGTGATAAATCTA